TCTTGACTCCTGTAAACAGTGCACAGTTTATTACACCAGTTCATGGGATTCTTTTGTATTATTCCATAAGCCTATTTCAGCAATGGAATAGTAATAAGAATTTGCAATGTATGGTTAGTGTCTTCACTCTTAAAAATTTATACAGCCTCTGCAGGCTATGTGATCTAAAATATTTCATGCAAAGAAGGGAAGAAAATGAAAAATTGATTATTTTAAAAACAGAGACAGAATATTGCTGGTTTTTCTTTATTTCTAGTTAATGTTCACACAGTTAAAAACTATCAGAGCTTTAAATGGGATGCACCATAATTTGTGGAATAAAAGTCTGTAGCAAATACTAGACTCATGAATAAAAAAAGTCCCTCTGTCTGTCTCAGTGGCTGTGCTGCTGCTGGCTTAATGATAGTCTCTTCTACAGTTTACGTATCATGAAGTAGAAGCTCAGTATAAGGTGCAGAAGCACCAACCTCTGTTATATTTACCAACAAAATGCCTCTAAGTGTGTAAGGTCAGTCTCCCATATTTCAGACCTCTAGTAGAATTCTCACCACACTCCTCCATTAAAACCAAACCAATCAAACCCACCCTTCTAGCCCTTTGATATTCAAAGCAGTCATTCCATCCTGCACTGTGTGTGCTGCTGCTTCCATTAGCAAGGTGCGTTCAAGTGGCATTTTTAGATACTTACTAATTCTGCTTCCTGGACCCTAATAGAATATGGAGCAAAGTCTAGAATTAATCTTTCATCCACACTGTAAAACAATCATGTCACAGTAGACTTTAAAAGAGGAAAAAAGGAGCAGAGGAATACTGTGTCCCATTGCAAGTTCAGGTGCATTGTAACTATATGAATTTCAGTTTATCAGAAATAACAAGATCATTCTTCTTCCTTCTGAAAGCGCTACAAGACTTTTAGTGATGGTAGTTTGGTATCTTGTGCCTATTGTAATTGCTGTGTCTGTGTCCCCGCATGCAGCACTAGGACACGAGCTCTCCACTGCACCATCCTACAGGATCTGTCTCTTCTCTAGACATCTTCCTTCATTCTTACTGACTTCTGTGGTCCAAGTTAGTCTTTGAGATTCAAAAATATCTTTCCAGGAAGTGGTATGCATTTAGGACACCAAGTGATTGCTTTGTTGTTTTTAAAATGCACACAAAAGTGGGTTAATAGAAGCAGTCTAAAAGGGCTAAAAATACCCTAACTGATTGTTTTTCCTCCTTTATTTTCCTTTCATCCTGAAGATTGATAGCCCTTGTTTTCAGCCAGAAAACTCCTGTTTGCTATCCCCCACTGTGTCATGTACATGCACACAGTTTAAGGCAATGCTACCTCAGGTGTCCCTGCCCTGTACTCTCAGGAAGAAGAGATACAAGTCTTCTCTCCACCTTTTTGCTAGCAATGTCACAGAGATAAGGACTGAGCACATACAGAGCACTAGTCAGACACACCTCCTTCTTTATCATACTATCACCCAGGATAATGGCAAAGGAAGGCCCTTAACTGTTTGCTACCTGGGCTGCTTTGAATACATCTTAAGGGTTGCTGCGAGCACGAGAAGGATAGGCATTGCCAGGGAAAGGCAAGAGGTGGAAGAGATTAAAAATGAAAAGGGCAGGGAAGAAAGAGAGGGTGGCCCATGCTTACTGTATCCACTCATCCATATAACATGGCAAAAAGACGACAGTAAGACAAATACTCAGCCCATTTATCTTCTGTAATGGCCTCCATATCCATGCTGTTCTGCAGGAAACATGCACAGTTCTTTTGCACTTACACAGCTCTGGACTATTTATAGAAACGGCACAGGCTTTAGTGAAAGCCAGTCAGATTTTCTGAAGTCCTTTCAGGAGCTTTGTTTCTGTATCTGCATCATTTCAAGAAGGGAAATCACTGTTTAGTGTAACTGAGCATCTGTTCTTATGCTGTCTCTATCTGTACAAGAGAGCACAATCACTGAAAAAAACATAGATGTTCAGTGATATTTTTAAGGTGAAAAAGGAAAAAAAGGTATACTGTAAACAGTGTTAGCCATAGTTGATAGCTGTACTAAAAAAACCCAAAACAAACCAACAAACGTCCAGATTTTTTCACTGTTATTTGAAAGTGACTGTGTTAGTTTTGTTAGTAATGAAAGTATTTTACTCCTATTTCTGGTTATTTTTAAGAAAAAAAGAAAAAGCCCCTTTCGCATTTTAAGCAGCAGCACAAGTTGTAAAGAGATTGCCATGTCCTTGCAAAATAGAGAGTGGGCACAGCACATCTTTAGGAAAGGGTAATTCAATAGAAGAACGTACTGACACATGATTTACATAGGATTGTGGAAGCTATGTTTACTTTAATGATGAAAGCCAACTTTGAAGTGTTGCTGTAAAACCAGTGTAGAAAAAAAAATAAAGAAAAATACGTAGACAACTTTATAACCACTGTAAAGATTGTCTGTTAGGGACAAGCGACTTCAGGAGGACAAATGCTTTGTAAGTTCATGCACATAACCTCAGATGTTTGAGTGCACAGTTTAAACACAGAAGCCACAAAAATAAACAGCAAATCATTCTGAAATAGTACCAGCTATATAAGAAATATTCAGACTGAAAAAATCTGGAAATGAAGGTCAACCATGCATTAATAAAGATGGGATATTTGTTTATTTTATTTGCTTTAAAGACTAGTGAACATCCATAACTTAAAGACCAGTAATAAGTACTAGATACCTTATTCTGAAGGATGAATTTTCAATCTAGGGTGAGCCAGCAAAGATTAATGAGTGATACTTTATATGGGGATAATGACAGTTAGGAAGTGTATTTTTCAGTATACTAATATTGATGAAAGTAGAGAATTATTGCAAAGATAGTAGGTTAAGACTTGGATAGTCTAGCAATTTCTATCTCATAATCCATCCCTAAAAGTCAAATAAACTTCTAGGAGCACAACTCTTGTTTGCAAGACCCATATGTTATCTTAGACCACCCACAGCTGTGAACTTGACTTACACGGGGAGAAGCGGTTGTCGGTGAGGAAAGTCTCATAATGATATACAATCTGTTTTAAGATGCATGGAGAGAAACAAGGACAGCAGAAACGTACATAATAAAACACAAATGCTAGATGGACACTTTCGGGGGCAGACTTTGATTCCTTTTGCCTTTGCCCAAGATAATATTTCTGTGCCAACATTACAGTAGCATCTAGATGAGTTCAGTCAAGACGACTGTAGTTCAGTCAGTGCATGCTCACCCTGGAACTCTCCAAAGGGCTGAAAGTCTTACAGCAACACAGGGAAAATCACATAGAGAGAAAATGCCGTTTCAGCACAAGCCACTAAAATGCCTGAGCAATGAGAGGGGAAAATTGGGAAAATAAAATTAACTTATTGAATGTGACAGTAAAATTCCTACTGAAATCTTTTTTTTCCCTGCAGTGGTGAGGCCATGCCTTTCTGACTTAGTATTAACAAGTAGATTAAGAACATGGGAAAGGCCATAGCAGGTCAAATCAAAGGTCTATCTAGCCTGGTATCTTCTTTCACAGAGATATAAAAGCAGATGTCTCAGAAAGAGTATAAAAGTAGAGCAAGTTATATTTGACCCAAATATTATCCCAGACTTCTAACAAATTACAGCTTAAGGGGCTTTTGAAACGGAATTTTCTACCTTAAGGATGTGTTATGAAGTATGTGCATTTAAAAAGAAAAATCTTCATTTGCTTTGAACATGTCACGTACTAGCTTTATCTGATACCCCCTGGTTCTTGTATTGTAAAAGACAACAAGTAGTTGCTCTCTATTCACCATCTCAATGACACTCATGATTTTATAACCTGTATCCTATCTCCCTCAGCCAGCTTCTGTCCAGGGCAAAGAGTCCTAGCCTACTTAGCTAGTTCTCAAAGATACGTGTCCAGAATTGTAAAAATACTCAAGGTGGAAGTACATGAAAGATTTGAAGAATGGCATAATTATGTAGTCTATTTAATTCCCTTTTCCCTTCCTGGTAATCCCTAACAATTTGAGGAGACAAAGCATTTTAAGAAAATCTGGATATTAAAACTGTTGATGAATAGTGGAATATGGAATCCTTAATATGTGCTGTTCAGACTGACACTTCTTGGGTGCACTTCCTTGCAAAGTGTAAAACATAAGGGAAAGACCAAAAGCAAAACTGTCTAGACTGCTAGGAAGGAAGGATGGAGAAAGATGGTTGGGGTAAAGAGTATAACAAAATCTTTAACAGGTCCAATATTTAGTAAACAATTCAAATCTTGAAAATGCCAGCACATACCAACACCTGAGAGTAACACAACATTTCAGCAAACCAGAGTGCCTGCAACAGCGTCCATCCTAACCGTGTCCACATCCTGCTGTCGGCACTGCTCAGAGTAAGTCTCTCCATCGTTAGAACTTGCATCTGCTCATTTTCCACTGCCACATCATTTGCAGAAATCACTGGTGTTGTGGCAGCCTCACAACAGCCAGTCTTGCAAGCACAGTTCTATAGTGCTCATGAAATCCATGGAGGGATAAGACCATGAAGTGTCTCCTGTGGTCCCAATTAATTTCTTGGAAGCTGGAGAAGTCTTTGCATGTGTTATGCATATGGAGTTTTAGAATAAATATGGTTCAGTATAGCACTGAAACATCTTGTTTCAGGGTATAAATATTCTATAGAAGATATATAGCACTTAATTTTACAAAATGTTTGCAAATTAGTAGATACTCTAGAAAATATTCTTAAAGTCTCCTCAAACAATAAATTGCTATTCTCATTGCTGTTCTCTCCTTTCTTAAGGGACCTAGAAGAAGAACCGACAGTGCACATAGACTGCACTGGTTTTCTAAAGTTTAAATTTTAAGAAAGCACATAAATAACATGTATTTTTGTATGTTCTGAGTTGTTTTGGTTAGTGCTTCTAGGATTTGCATGAATCAGGACTACAGAAAATGGTCTATAATTTTGATGAATTACTGATGTTTTTCCTGTCCAATTTCTCCCATCAGTGTTGCTAGTAACAATCCTTGTAGTGGAAGGGATTGCTGTTGCACAGAAGACACAAGGTACAATTTTGTTTTGATTGTTTTCTTTCAAAAAATGTAACAGCTTTACAAATTTTAATTAAACTATATAAGTGAAATAAAGTATTTGTGTTCAGTTATTAATAGCTCTTGAATCTCAAATATGAATTACAGTATTTTCCATTTTCCCCCTATTTTACTGCATTTTTTTCTAGCTGGCCAAAACCATCCAGTTACAAAGAACATGGAAGTTCACTTATCCAGTTAAAATTCTATGGGTTTGGACCTTAGAGGTGGGAAAAAAAACCACCATGGAAATTCATGTTTTCTGTATCTGACAACAAGCTTTTCAAATAGTCCACCCACAAATGTTTTTGAAGCCTGCTGAGTAGGGGAGGCATCAGTTTCACAAACCTTATTTTCTTACATGTCTGATTAACCCACACATAGGAGAGAATTCCTTGAACTGACACCTACAGAATTTCCTTGAACAGTTTCTGCAGGAGAGACTAAGTTATCACCCCCATAAATCAAAAAGCTGCCAAGATGCCCGTGGAAGGTGAGGTAATTTACTGGAGGCAGCTAAGACCTGTATCAGCTTAGACTCCCTCTCAAAGGCCTGCAAAGAAAAACTGCATAAATGTAAATAACATTATGAGAGCAGCCTGTGAGATTGAGGAAAGATCTAGCAGAAACCACATATCCTGTGTCCAGTTCTCTCCAGTTCTGCTGATACCAAGGAGAAGGGTCAAAGGTACTTAGGAAGAATGTCAGGGAGATCATACTATTCCCAACTCCTTTCTCCTTGGATAAGGAAATCTGAACTAACAAAGCTTCTGCAAATGGTCCAGCATGGTGCAGCAGTTCAGTAAACTGCATAATCTCAGTCGAGGATCCTATTTCCCTGTACACCCAGAAGAGCAGCATTGATCTGAAATCAGACCCTTAGCTACCACTGCAATCTACCTATTGCTGGTAATTTCACTACCTACCATTGCTGTATTTAGTGTATTTACATATAATGATTCATTCTGTTATAAGCATTCTGTATTCCAACAAATTATTGTAAATAGATGTTCAATCTAAGGGCCGTGTACTTCAGTATACTCTGGAATCAAGGTGAAAAATAGTTAAAGCTAACAAATACTTTGGATTACATTTGCATAGGAATTGAGAAGACATAAGCCATACAAGAATGCTGCTGTATTGGCAGCCACTGTGACTATTTAACTTAGAAAGAGGAGCATCAAAAAATCCAAACTGACTTGGGTAAAAAAATTACTCCCTCTCTTCCCTTCCCAAGGATTACTGGGCATATTTGATAGTCAAAAACTGTGATCTTTGTAGGATATACCACATCTCTAAATTAAACACAAGATTTTCATAGCTTAATAGTAGCAAGTGGCATGTAAGAAGGTTTTTAACCAAAATAAGTTACCTTCCTTCTTTTATACGATATGCGTTATGTCAGTGTTTTACTTTTGCAAAATCCAGTTTGCATGCTTGCAAGAGACATTTATTTGATCACTTTTTTTTTTGCTTAAGGTGGGCAAAATATTGGAGTGAATCGCATTCCTCCTACCCAGTGTGACAACTGGGTACGGACAAGTAATGGAGGACATTTTGCTTCACCAAACTACCCTAACATGTACCCACCAAATCAAGAGTGCATCTATATCTTGGAAGGTACATGCTGTATTTTTGTCTTACTGTGTTGTAATCTTACTGTTAAATGGATAATCTTGGGCTGTTAGAACTGTGTCATTTTACTATACTGTCAAGTGTTGTATAGCCATACTGGTAATATAATCAATTCTGCAGTCATTCGGTTGAATTAAGAAGCTAAATTTGTTCTCTGAAGTGATAATAGCAAATTAATAGAAAATGCAAACATTCAGGAATTAGCTATACAGAATAAGACATATCCTCACAGCCAGAAAAAGCAGCATCAGATCTGCTGTAATCTATGAAGTCACAGAATTATAAAGATAAAAATTGTAGCTTTGTATCTTAATATCACTTCCCGTATTGCTGATGATAAACTGCAAAGTATGGTTGAACACTATCTCCAGCATTTATCAGAACATAGTGTGTTATTCTCTCTCACAAGCAGAAAATCTTTGTGCTGTCCTTTATTAATAAAAAAACCACATCAGACTGCCATAGCACTGTACTAAAAATATGGAGATTTGTTGGCACTGCCGAGGTCACTATTAAAATTACGTGATGAGGACAAAAAATTTCATTAACTAGAATAAAACCACATTCCAATGAGAATGTCTTGGATAAAGGCTGCCAAGACTTGGGATACACTAATTGTTTTTTCGTCTTAACAGAATGCACCCAAAACCCACTGAAGTCAGCTGAAAACATTAAGTCAGCTTAATCATCAGATTCATATCAATTAATTGAAATAGTTCAAGTAATGTGTTTCAGTGAGTTTTTATTTGTACAGTATAGTACTGGTTCATGGCCACCCTTACTTTTGCTTGTATGCATGCACATCTGAAGTTTACATCTTCCCTGCCACTGGAGAACAGACACCCTGTCCAGCTTCAGAGTTCAGACGGACCAGATCCATTGCTGGATCTCATCTTCCATGGGGCACAGAATCACTTTCCACACCTCTGTCCTCACAATACTTATACAGAAACATCATAGTACCTGAGTGAGACAAAGGTCCTCCACAGTGTCTAGCTAAGATATGGTCCTTCCTGCAGACCACCGTCAATATGCACAAACAGCTACACGTTTTTAACTCGTGCGTAAGTAAAGCGTAAGGTCTAAACAGAGTGTTAGAGGCCTAGAAGTAAATCCTTTTTGAATCCAGTAGGAGCAGACAGCATGTGATTCTTTAATGTGCCATTCCAGATACCAGTGAGTATCTGAAAGTTCATATGGCTCAATAGGTGACAAGTACAAGAAACACTAAAGCTATTCATACAATATAATGTAGTCACAGTTCCTAACTACACATGTGAGAGTCCAGTCACAAAGTAGCCACAGCTGCATCTCATCAGGGTTTGGGGGTCTGGTCCAAATCCTGATGTTAGGCTGTCACTGGTTCAGTTACCAACATCTGTAGTCAGCTGCTTATTAATAATATATATGAAGCATTTATATTTCTCTGAAAATTCTAATAAAAGATGTCTTCTGCCAAAATATGTCCAAATTTGGGCTTAATGTTTAGGAAATACATCAGTGAGTAGCTCTTAATATCTTTTTCTTTTCCATTCTTTTCTGCATCCCTCAATGTTTTGTCCTTTTTTATGTACTTTGCTTTCATGGAACACTGATTTGAATTTATATCTTAATATTAAACCTTGTTTGAATACCTTTGCATATATGTTAATGTCTGTTACATTTGCTGCATTAAATTTATGTAATTTCTGAATGTTCAACAATAAAAATCAGCAAGCACAAAACTTGCCATAAAATTCCATGAAAAAGTATCTTCTGCACCATAATTTTTGAAATTTCTGTTACAGTGTACGTGAGTTTTTGTAGCAGACTGCCAGATGTGTTTTGAGAAGTTTCTAGTATCTTTTTTTATTTTGCTGTTTTGGAGGCCTATATCTTCTTTATTTCATGTGTTTTTTATATAGATCTTCATTTAATCTTTTGCTTGATTTTTTATGTCTAGCTGCTCCACGACAAAGAATTGAGTTGACCTTTGATGAACCCTATTACATAGAACCCTCATTTGAATGTCGGTTTGATCATCTGGAGGTTCGAGATGGACCTTTTGGTTTCTCCCCTCTTATTAATCGTTATTGTGGTCTGAAGAGTCCTGCACTAATCAGATCAACGGGGAGATTTATGTGGATCAAGTTTACTTCTGATGAGGAGCTGGAAGGAAAGGGATTTCAAGCAAAGTACTCATTTATACCAGGTAAAGATGTCTAAATTCTGACCGAGTTAGTGACTGTCTGCTCCCATGGAACTCTGTGGGTGTGTTTATGCCAGCAGTCTGGAGCTGTATTTCATCAGAAGAGCTTATGACAGCAAAGTGACAACGCGTTTGTTAGTCCTGCTAATCTTGCAGCGTAAGAAACTACAACCACTTTGGAAAATCGACTGAGGGGAATTACAGGTCTGTAGTTTGCTAGTGAAGAAGTCAGTTGACTTGTTCATGCTGAAGGGTTTAGCAGCTTTTCTCTTTGTTAATCTTGGCTTATACCAGCTTCACCAGTGGTAGTAATGGAAAGAGCATTTATGTAGAAAGAAAGCTGGCGTTTTCAAGAGCCTGTCTTCTAGAAGCATAAGACACTGACAGAAACATCTGAAGCAAATCTACAATAGCACTTACAGCCAGATGCAAAACGTTTTAAATCTCCATTCAGAAAAGCCAGAGGAGATATCTGTAAGGTCTCTAAGCATCAGCTCTCAGCGTAACTAGATTCCTTCAAACCACAGGCTCAGACAACAGAATTGTTCCTTGCTCCAAGTCCTGTGTAGTTTACAGGGTATGAAGGAGAGGATAATATGCTGACAGTGCCTTTAGACAAACAAAAAGTACATCTGCTCTGTGGGGCCACTTAAAACTGGCAGGGTATTCTTTTCACAAGGAAATCTGACCTGATGTCCTTGTGCCATCCTTGACTGCTCTATTTCATAGATGCGATACGTGTAGTTATCAGCATTTTATTATCCTTTGGGATTAAAGACAATATACAAATGTCAGTTCTACTACTACCATAAATGTATACACAGGCATCACGTTTTAATGTTGTCTTTACCCCTACAGCACACAGAAGCACTATACATGATTATATATTACTGCTTATAGAACTGTATACCGTGCTAGGGATTTAGACTTGGGAACTCTTCAGATTAACATGGTGACCAGTCCACTAGGAATAACATGCTAAAATGTTTTTATAGGGACAGTACTTCCACATTTTGCTAAGTCCACTTCCAAAGCCATTTCACTAACATCACTTTCAAAACTAACTAAGCCTAGTTCCAGGCTGGAACTTTAAATAGACATTTAAACTGTATATATATTATTTTCACAATAGATTGCAGCAGCTGAAGGACTGATATTTTTCTTTTCTTTCCTCTACATTTATATGAGGTGCAGTAAAATATTTCGAGATTGTGAAAATGGAGGAAACACACATGTACACCCCCACTTAATTAAAAAAAAAATCAGTTCACAAAGAAGGTCAAAAATCTCTTGCTGAGTTTTGTATATAGTGATCATAGATTTCACTGTAGGTAACTAAAACAGAGGAGGGCAAAGAAAGCATTTTCTCAACTGTGTACTGAGTCTTAAGCTCAGGACTGAGGCATTTTAAGGGAAGCAATAAACTCCCTGTACAGAAAAACATTAAGGGGACCACAGAAAGAGCTAAATTCTGGATCTTCATTTGGAAAACAAATTTGTACAAAACAGGTCTGCAGTTTTGCATGAACTAGTGTTTTCCTGGCATAGACTAACATTTCACACACATACACACACTATGATTTGTGTGATTTCTGTGGTGATTTTCTATGCCACAGCTGCAAAAGGGTGCATCTTGGAAGTTTCTGTGCTGATTTGTGAGGAAGCACTAACCTGATCATTGAAATGTGAGCCTTGGACATCCCAGCCCATTATAGACTCATTTTTAGCCAAGCCATAGTCCCAGTAAAGTCAGGTACCATCAGTTAACCATTATGAAAAAGTATATTCTTACTTCACTATTAGTATGGAGACACTATACTACTATAGTGTGTACTATGGACACATACACTACCTATACATCTCATTTAGAAGAGAGAAGACAGAGGAGCAATCAAGGTGAAATTCTGCCTTCATAAATGATGTCTCAAACTGTGCTACCTGCCCTAACAGAAGAGGTATGGGTACCTAAGGAGAAAGTATCTTTAGTATTGCACTGTCCTTCTTTATATTCTTTATTGATAGTATTTAGCAACTTCAAAGTGTTGATATATTCTACCAAACTACTCCAGTTCAAATTCTTTAGAACTAGACAGAGAGCAATCTTAAGAACAATGCACACAGAAAAAGTCCCTGTACTCTCGTGGAGCTCCAGTGATTTCAGTGAAAACTGGCATAGTTAAATTCAGAATGAAACATAGGAACAAAATACCAAATAATAATTTTTGATCTTATGCTGGAAATCTGAGCTGTCACTACAGAATTACCTTATTCAGATAAGGTCAATCTTTGTGGAATAATGTTATCTAAAAAAAAAAAATTGTCTCCAATAGATTCAGTAAACTTTCTGGCAATTTTTATTGTGACATAAAAAATGGACATAATCTTCAGATTATACTAAACCTTGAAGTGATTCTCAAGCATTGATAGCCCCTGTGATTCATGACTTCTTTCTATTGCAGATCCTGACTTCACTTACCTAGGAGGTATTTTAAATCCCATCCCAGGTCTAGTATTACAGTAACAATTTCTTTATACATGAAATTTTAAATTACTATCATATTCCATTTGACAGCAAGGTATATGTTCTTCCTAGACTGCCAATTTGAGCTCTCAGGAGCTGATGGAATAGTACGTTCCAGTCAAGTAGAACAAGAAGGAAAAACAAAACCAGGACAAGCAGTTGACTGCATATGGACAATTAAGGCTACTCCAAATGCTAAGGTGGGTTTCATTCATATAATTCAGCATATAATGGGTTTCCAAGTCATTAGTCACAGGTAATGGTCACTAGCTGTGATTTGCATAATGTCTCACTTCCACTGAAATGAATTATGTATCAGAGGCTTAGGAAATCCAGATAGAGGATTGTTTCTGAAATTAAACTTACACAGCAAGTCCACGGTGTTGCCTTCCTATTATTTGAAACTTAAAATACAAAATAACTGTGAAAACTGTTTAAGCAACAATTTTCAAGGGCATTTGAGTTGGACTCTGGTTTTATCGGAAGACCACAGGCAAAAATGCTAGCTAGCAGCTCTGATAAATTCCAGTAAATCTTGATGCCATGGTTTAAAATTTTGCCTCCAGTGGTTCTATTGGAAAACTTGGTTCTGTTCAAAGTCAACAGAACATACCTGCTCCTCCCTAGTCCAATTCATAATCCAGCACCTTAAAACCCACTTTCATCAGCAGTCTGAGCTAAAATGAAAGGCTTTACCTGGAAACAGCTGAGGAATTATCCCTCTTTTTAACTCAGCTATAGGATCATACTCTCTTAGAATTGCCATAATAAAATTTGCTAGAGCTTTTCTGCCCAAGCCCTAAAGGGGCATATTAGCTGCTCGAGCCAAAAATCAGCATTAGTTACCTAGGTACCTGATTTATGATTGTGCCTGCAGAACTAGAGACTGCTCACGAAAACATTATTATCTTCTGCTCATTAAAAACAACTTGAGCTTTATTTTTGGGCAGAGAGAAGGATGAAATCCTGTCTCTAATTCCAAAATACAATAGCTATAGCCTGTTTAAAACAAACAAACCAACCCACCAGCTATACGTTTCAGAATCAAATACTTATTAATTACTCGTGTGGTACACCGAAGAATACATTTTTTTCTCATATAGCATACACATCTGTAATTTTGCTGTTCTATGACCACCAGCTATACGTTTCAGAATCAAATACTTGTTAATTACTCGTGTGGTACACTGAAGAATACATTTTTTTTATCATATAGCATACACACCTGTAATTTTGCTGTTCTATGGGTATTAAAGCACATACCACTCCTTGCATGTACATAAAAACTAAAAAAATATTTTTTAAGCAATAGTTGCCAAGATGGCAAACCTACTCTGTACCTTCTTACACACTCCTAACTCTAACCAGCCACCTTCTTACATGCTCCTAATAGTTAACTAACCAGCCCTATTCACCAGCTTCCAAATCAGTTCTAAAACAGCAATCTAAAAGATGGTAATAAGAGGACAAGACAAGAAAGAAACTAAAACTTCATTAATATATTAGAGCATTTGAGGAAGTGACTCAACTCCCAGGGGCCCTGTACTAGTCTCAGTAATAGTAGCAGTTCTTCCAGAAGCAATAATAAAACTATTTTCTCTTTATATTGCCATTTGAGTTCACCAGGTCTTATACTTAATTATTTTAATAAATTATTGAATGTTGCCAGAAGGCAGAGTTATAGTTGGGTCAGTCCTGAGATTAGATCATCATCCTAAATTATTGAGTTAAAACATTACAGAAAAATAATTCTTAGTATTCTGACAGTGGTTTCTCAAGTTTCAATTCTGGCAAAATTATGAAGATAAAATCCATTAGATCTGAAATGGTACAGTCTCTTGAGAAAAATAACCATAGACATCTTTAATTTCCTCAATTTGATTTTGTAATAAAAATTAATTTTAAAAACTGATACAACTGCAACAATGAAAGGATTTTTTTAAATCTACATATCAGATATTTTATAAATTACTTCCAGATTTTAGAAAATTACTAGAATTATCAAAACAATCTAAGAGTGAGGACCTTTTCTATTAATTTTCCTAACACACTAACCAGAAGGAGCTTTTTCAGAGCTGAGCTCTTTTAATGGAATTATTCCTTTACTTTCATATACAGAATAGCTCTACTAAATCTGGGCTCATTTATTTTTAGCTTCCATTGTAATTTCACAGCAGATATATGAAGTAAATTGTTACATGAAATACCATCTCTTAGCCCAAATACTACATGCTTCCATTTCTATTCAGATTAGTCCTGACTTCATGGCTTATGTCTTCCGTAACACTGCTCTGGTTCAGTAATTAGTTTTTATTCTGAAGCAACAAAATCTA